ACAAACTTATATAAATTAAATCTCTTTCTCAACCACTCGCCCTCTTATATTATTTTTTAAGTTTGGCGACTATTTGGGCTAAACTATATTTTAATTCTGGTTTGCCAGTTCAAATAAAACCTTCATTTTTCTCATATTTAGGAATAATGTGAATATGAAAGTGGAAAACGCTTTGGGAAGCCATGACGCCTAGGTTGCTAATAACGTTAAATCCGGCGGGTTGAAAAACTGCTTGTAATTTATTAATAACATTTTTGGTTAAGGGTAATATATATTTTCAACTCTCCTCTTCTACTTCCTTAATATTAGCAAAATGCTGCTTGGTAATGAGTAATATATGACCGTCGCTGACTGGGTAAGCGTCCAAAATAGCCATTACTTTCTCGTTTTCAGCAATAATGTAAGCACCTTTTTCTTGCTTAACAATTTCGCAAAAGAGACATTTCATGATAATTTATTTTACTAATGTTTTCTATTCGTTGGTCGTGGCTAAATTTCTGACTCTTTTAATTAATTCTTTATTGATAGCACAAGTAATCAACGTACAATTAAAACGGCAAATAATTTTTTGTAGGGGTAGTATAATATCAAATAACCTCATCAACAATGATATCATATCCATTGTCGGCTAGTTGCTGAACTATTTTAGGGACTAAACTACTAACTTCCCCCCATAAGGTCCAGTTTTAACTTCGGTAACTGCAAACATTTCTTTATCAATACTAGACACAATAATGAAACTGTGAGTGGCTTTTTCTCCCAATTCAACATATTTATCAGGCATAGAGTCGAATAAATCGTTAATACCCAAAGTTAATCACGGTTCTTCGCTTAAATATTAAATAGCTTTAACTAATAAAGTTTTTCCAGCCAAAGAAGGTCCATTTAGAAAGATAATTTTCGTCATTAACTAAAAAAAATAATAGTAATTAATATAAAAGTACTGGCAATGAACTATCTTCCCCGTAAAGAGTATTTTCGTCACGAAAGTGCTTGACTTCTGTATTCGGAATGGGAACAGGTATTACCACTTGGTTATAGTCACCAGTACAATATTAACATTTTTAGTTTCTATTTTAGTTGGTAAGTCATTACATTTAGAAAAACTGACCAGCGAGAAATAGATTACTTAATAATTTCTCTCTGGCTTTTTATCATCACGAGGGAGACATAAAACGATTATCCAGCCTATCCAATTTAAGAAAAGTGCCAATAAAAGCCCTGCTATGCCTTTCCGGCGATAAGCCCAAAACTATCATTCAAGCTATATATATGACCTTGCCTGCTGGACCAAGTTCTTCAAATTTTACTCAATATTCCATATTATTATTAATTATATATATTATATATTTTACAACTTACTTTGTCCCCTTTTAATAAAACATGACCTATATGATAAAATTTCCTCTCACGGGAAATAAAAATATATGAAGTTTCGCCATAACAAACCAACACATGCACAATTATAGAATCAGCCTAGGGATTAATAAATTTTTCCACTTTGAATTCTCGTTGGCGCCCTAGGGACAATAATTGACCTTTTTCTTTGGGAGAATTAACAAAGGTTATGGCCTTGCCACTGGCTCCGGCTCGGCCAGTGCGACCAACCCGGTGAATATAAAAATCTTGGGTTTGGGGAAAATCATAATTAACCACATAATTAATATCCTTAACATCTAAACCGCGGGCGGCTACATCCGTTGCCACTAGTAAAGGCATTTGCTTTTTTTTAAACCGGTCAAAAACTCTCAGTCGGCGGGCTTGCGATAAGCCACTGTGAATATAGTCAGCGAGCAAATTTTTTTGGGATAAATTTTCTTTTATTTGTTCTACTTTTCGCTTAGTATTAGCAAAAACAATGGTCGACTTTGGTTTATTAAGTTGGAGAAAATTAGTTAAAATATGGCTTTTCTGGGTCGAAGTGGTTTCAATATAATAATGCTGAATATTGTTTATTGCCCCTTTTTCCTGCTGTTCGCTGGTAATGTAGTCAGGATTATGGCAAAAGCGCTGGGCAAAATTACCCACTTGCGGCGGAATAGTTGCCGAGAAAAGCAAAGTTTGCCGTTGTTCGGGAGTTTTTTTAATTATTTTTTCAATATCTTTTAAAAACCCTTTGCTAATCATTTCGTCAACTTCGTCTAAAACTACGAATTTTAAATGGTCTAAACGCAGGCTTTTCTGGGTAAAAATATGGTCAATAATGCGACCGGGCGTTCCGACTATAATATCGGCTCCCCGACGTAAAAAACTTAATTGTTTGCGAATGGGGTCGCCCCCGTAAACGGCTAAAACCCGTAAATTTTTATGGGCAGACAATTTTTTAGCTTCTTCACTCACTTGCAGAGACAGTTCCCGGGTTGGCACTAAAATAAGCACTTGGAGCTGAGCAGTGGCTTCTATTTTCTCGCACACCGGAATTAGAAAGGCAGCGGTTTTTCCGGTCCCAGTGCGGGACTGAGCCACCATGTCTTTCCCCGCCAATGCTGAGGGAATGACTTGTAATTGAATATCGGTTAATTGACTATAACCAGTTTGTAACAAATTTTTTTTGGTCTTTTCTGATAATAATATATTTTCTTGTTTCATTTATTATTCTTGTATATATTGTATTTTTAAGCTAAAGAGTTCGTAATTGTTAAGTTTTTGTCCTTTCTCTATTTTTTAAAAACCTTATTTTATTAGATTCTTTCAACCTAATTTTATAAACTCTTCCGCACAAGGATTAAACTTTTTTTGGGACCAGGAACCGCACCGCGGAGAAAAATAATTTGGCTTGCTTGGTCTATTTTTTCCACTATTGCTGGTTGAGTAGTTTTTTTCCCACCCATACGACCTGGCATTTTTTTGCCTTTCGGGATGCCTTGATTAGAGCCTCGACCACCCCCCATGGAACCAATTAATCGGTGCGGATAACCACCCCCATGTGTCATTCTGCCCCGTGAGAAATGATACTTTTTAATTACACCGGCGGTGCCTTTGCCTTTGGAAACACCAGTAATTTTAACTTTTTCTCCTTCTTGAAAGAGCGAGCAATCTATTAGCGAACCTACCTCAAATCCTGTCATATCTCTTATTTCTTGTAAATGTTTTTTGGGGGGAATATTGTTTTTGTTTAAGTGTCCTAATAAAGATTTATTAAGATTTTTTCCTGAGCAATCACCAAAAGCGATTTGGCAAGAATTATAGCCTGCTTCGGCTTCCGTTTTTACTTGGGAAACTATATTACTGCCCACTCAAATTGCGGTTGTTGGTCGCAATTCTCCTGTGGCTGCCGGTAATTGTGTCATACTAATTTTTTTGCCTAAGATACCAATTGTTTTCATAATTCTAAAAAGGATTTTGTATTTTATTAATTAAGGTAGTGAAGTGTTGAGGTTGTTGAATAGCCATTTCCGATAATTGTTTGCGATTTAATTTAATGTGGGCTAAGGTAATTAGTCGCATAAAGTGGGAATAACTCAAACCTTTTTCCCGACAAGCATTATTTAAACGGGAAATTCATAATTGACGAAAGTTTCTTTTTCTTTGCTTACGGTCCCGAAAAGCGTAATGTCAAGAATGCATTAATTGTTCCTTAGCTGTTTTAAATAATTTGTGTTTGGAACCAAAATAACCTTTAGCTTGTTTTAAAATCTTTTTGCGGCGCCAACGGGTGGCGGGAGTGTTTTTGGCTCGGGTCATACAATTTTGAAACTAATATCTAATTTTTTATTGTTATAGAAAAAAAGATAGATATTAGGGGGAGCGTTTTAGAGCTCCCATTAATTTTTTCCTCATACTCTTAAATAGGAAGAAAGTTAACGCTTTTTCTGGCTATTTTTTCTCACCAATAATCCAATTACTACTCTGATTATTAAGACCATTCCTCCCACTCAAAGAAGGTTATTGCGACTCGGCAACAGAGAAAGGGAAGAGTTAGCATTATCAATAATACTGCTTAACTTTGCTTGGCTTAAACTGGTTTTACCATTAGTCAGTAAATAATCTTTAATCTGGGTAGTTGATAATTCGGGATTAGTAGTAGTTTTGACTTAGTTATCATTTTAATAAGTAATATAAGTGATTACTAATTCTCCATGTTATATTTTTTTGAATCAATTGACAAGTAATTTATTATCTGCCGGGTTTTCTCTAGAAACAGTTCTACCACTCATGTTGGCTCCTGGGCGACTGTTTTCGCTCAATTCTGGGTTGCTGCCCGCTACTGGTTGAGTTTTGGTTAAACCAGACTGGTCTTCTTCGTTATAATACTCAATAGTAATTTTACCATTTAAACTAACATAATTTTTTAACCATCATATACTTTTGACTGTTAAAAACATTGGATTTGTTCTTTTTCTCCATCTTCTACCCAAATAAGAGAACGCCCACCACATTTAGATCAATGGATTAATTTTCTTGTCACAATATTTTGCTTTTTTTATAAATTATATTTTAGACCTTTTGTCTATTAGACTATACAATTTCTAATAGAGCTAGTTCTAAAATATAATATCTTTTTAGTGTAATTTACTTTTATATCTAATACTTGTAATTTACTTAAGTTCTGTAAAAAAGATAAAGAATGCCTAGTTCTTATTTTGTTCCTTTTTCTTTCGTAGTTTTCAAAAAATAATACTTCAGATTATCGCTACTATTATCACTATGACACCAGCGGGATTAATATCATCATCTCCTTGGTCTTTTTTATTTTTCTGTTCGCAAGGGGGATTGTTTTTCCTTTCCTCAGTTTGAAACTCTCTTAAACCTTGCTTATCTTCTTCGTTTAGGGGTAAATTATTAATATCTACTTGCTCCCCGCTTTTAATTCTTCTCACTGCTCTTTTTTGACTTTACTGGGAAAAACAAAAATAACTTCTTCATTATCCAGTTTTAATAATAAATAATCTCGCCCATTTTTATCTAATCTTTCTTGCTTCCTCCTTACTAATTTCTTCTATACGCACAATATTATCTTTTTGCTTTGCATTTTTTACCATAATTGA